TCCTATAGTAATGTAGAAGGAGCCCAGAATATGAATAAATGCATGCAAAAATTGATATGGGTGAAAAATTTTATTCACATCAAACATATGTTTTGTGGGTGGCTCATGTTTACAGATGTAATGATTCCTTATACATCTATACAAATTAAACAATCCATATAAAGAATATTGACCATTTGATATGTTTCTTGCATTGTTTTGTTTTGATTTGATTTGAAGAAGCATCTTTTTACAAGTGACTAAAACCTATGTGAACTATTTTGAAACCTATATTGCAACTCAAACAAGTTCCTTTTGTTAATTTAGTTTTTAGTTAAAATTTAACCAATAAATCTAAAGTTGCCATTTCCACTTTAGGCAAAATACAGGGAATCTTGGCATAATCTCCGTGCTCAGGGTTATAAACTGACAATGGAAGCCATCCCTTTCCAGACTGCAAAGGCCTCCCGAGAAATTGCCAGTGATGTGAGTTGAATTATGCAGCCTTCCATCTTGCCTAATTTTTGTTAACTTCGTGTAATACATTGTAGAAAGCAGATTTTACTGAATTAAAGCAGCCTCATAATCATGTGAGACAAGGATGTGAGACAGAATGTATTACTTATGAATGAGATTCTTTGTGTGAATTAAAAAAAGTCACTGTTAATCAGAAACAAAGCAGGGCTGAAGCTCTTCCAATGGGAATAGGGGAAAGAAAAATATGTCTGGATGTTCCATTCAGATTTACCCAGCACATCCAAAATAATATCGATGCATGTAAATAGATAGTCCATTTATTTCCTTGGGTATTCCAGTAAAGCAGCTAAGGGCAATGAAGATATATTTACATCTACACATCTAATATTACATTTGACTGTAATATATTAATTTCTGCTTTTAGAAGCCCAATGCTTTTTGTATAGGAATTAAATTCTTCACTTTTCTGAAACAAAATGCACACACCTTCTCCCCAAAGTCAAGTAATAAGGCCACTATGAGCAACATTCAAACTTTCACTATCATAAGAATACTACTTTTCAGAGCAATAGGGGTACCCCTACAATCTGTAGATTTGTTCTCTTTGATTATTGTGAGAAGTCAATATTTTGAAGCCTTTTCCTCAATCCCCAGTGTCTTCATGCAAGTACCATTTCTCTAGGCGATTTCCTATATGACCACATTCAAATATAGCATCTTTTGCATAATAATAAGTATTTTGGGTACATCAAAATAACTTTGAGATAAACAAAACATAGCCTGAGTCATGTTGAGATATGCTTATGCGCATGTTATCTCTTTGATGATACTGAAAAACCAACTTGGCAGCTTACAAATAAAACAGATGCAAATGCTCTCACCTGTATAATGCTTCACCTCATAGTCATCTGTTCCAGCTTTCCTACCTAGCAGCAAGTTCCTCAAATACTTAACCATTGAATTCAAAAGGACTTTCTACAAAATATCACTTTTTTCACATATAAGTCCTGTTGTTCAAACAATACAATTTCTCTTGGCATGTGCTGATCAGAGCCAGGTTTTTGACATGTAAAAGATGAAAAGTGAACAGAAGCACAACACCAATAAAATATGTGATGGCTCTTTCATGTATTGAATTGTTCACTGTGGTGAACACTTTCCTTTTATATATGTGGAGAGAGAGACATAAAGCTTATTTTTTAAACATCATAGATGCAGGGGTGCAAGATAAATTTCGTTTTCTTTTCCATCACAGCTACAGTACAAGCACAACTTCGTTTCCGAGAGGGGGAAGCTCATTGGTGCCAGAAGCATTCTGGATGATACCAATCTGCTACACTGCTTGCATGCTTCTAAGTTACATAGTGAACAGGAATATAAGAAAAGCTCAAGAAATACCTGTTCTCAGTACAATCTCCCTATGGACATGGTTAATCTAGTTCATGCTAGAAAAGCCCAGAATCTCATCAGTGACCAGGAGTACAGGAAAAGATTGCATCAATACACAGTGCTTCCTGAAGACTTGAGGATGAAGTGGGCAAAAAGAGTTCATTTGATGCAAAGTGAGGTAATGCATATGCTTGAATGTTAGAGGTAAGAATAGTGTAACACCTGTACTATTATCTTGGACAGCCAATAACAGAACAGTGCAGGGTGAATCAAATTAAGTATTGCTAGCTTTACTAAATAAACAGGATGTTTGGTATACAATTATATCTATTAAAGCTTTTCTGCACCTGTACATTCTGAAGGACATGGTTGATTAATCAATTCAGATTTTTTTCCAGAAGTTATGCTAAAGGATTATATTAAATCAGTTTTGGAATTGAATTAATAAATAGTATATTGACATCAATGCTACGGAAAGTACTATTGGCTGAAGGTTTAGCCTAAATCAAAGTAAAAGCATATAAGTACTTGTTTTCTTACTTCACTGTATATTTGATAGATCCCAAACTCAAATTAGTACTTTTTAGAATGCAGTTTAAAAGAGTTCACCCAACTGGATCTTTTCAATGACAGCTAATGATAATGTTGGAGAATCACTCTTGGATTCTTTTCTAAGCATAGCTAATATACTAAAACAAAGCTTTTTTTTTTGTCTTTAAGTTACATTATTGTGAAGCAACCCTTAAACTGATGTACTAATTAAAACATTTAAGGGCTGCTTCATTCCATTAAAGGAAACTGTAGCATTTGTATAGGTGTATACTGTAAGATTTGTATAAAGACAATCATAAGTAGTTGCACTCATTGATCAATGAGTACTGAGCATCCTCTGATAAAATTGGTTGTATTGCTGAGCAATGTTTGAGGCAGCATATTTCAAGATGTATCTTTTGAGATAAGCATCTATACTACTAAAACTCTCCTGTCTGTTTGTAACCCTAAGTCTGTTTGTAACCTAGAGTCACCTTTGGTGAGATGGGCAACATTTGTTTGTTTGTTTGTTTGTTTGATTGATTTACAGTGCACCATAGGGCAATGACTCTTTTTTTAAAACCAATGTATCTCAAATAGGCTAACTTAAAGAATGCATTCAAAATCCAGATCCATTATTCCTGTGGGATTAAAATATCAAGTTCTTTAGATCAGTAGTATTGGCCATGCTGCTGTGGACAAAAATGATTGTGATTTCCAATGCTTCCTTTCAGCTTTCCACAACAAAAGTTAATGGGGAAGCTAGCAGGAAGTCAGAACTTGCTTCTGCTCTCACTGCTTTTTTTGCCTCTCCATGATCATTTTCTTTATCAGCTTAGATAAGGAAACATCTCTGAAAAGATGGCCAAAAAATGATGTCAGTGATACATTATTTATTCCAAAAGGAACAGATGAATGCATTAAAAATTACCCAGTGTCTCAGAAAATATTCAAATGTGAATATAAATCCATGTCCTGTGATACATTCTCACATTTAGTTTTTGTTTTTATTTGATAGTTTTCCTACAAATCTGATCTGAATTGCATGAAGGGAGTTGGTTGGATGTCTCTAAGATCCCCTCATATAGAAAATGTGAAGAAGGCTGGAGAACTCATCAGTGAGGTACTGCTAACTCTTTCATGAGACTGTGAATCTGTAAAGTTTGTAGGCCATCAAGATTCTTCCTTATAAAATCATCATGATATGGAAGCCTGGACTGAAACTGATTTCCTGGTCTGGTTTACCTAGTGGGGCTAATAGCTACAGTATATTAGACACACAAAATCTATTAGACTCCAATGAACCTATAATGAAAATGTTGTGTTATAAATGACATCCTTTGTATGGAATCTTCTTTATTATACTTTATCATGATTTCCCTTTATTCTGTTTGCAGACAAAATATCGTCAGAAACCAAATCATCTCAAGTTCACGACAGTTACAGACTCTCTGGACTTCCTCCATGCAAAGAATAGTTACATTCAATGCAATGATGTAAGTGAAGTATTTATGATATTGTAGGTTATAAAAATTGCCTTCAACCTCATATAATATGACTTGGAACCATGTCATTAGAAGAAATGTTACTGCTACAAATAAACTGATGGTTTTTGCCTGTCAGATGTGTAGTAAATTGCAGAAAATAACAGTGACAAAATATGTTGTGAATTTTCAAGGGTATTAATTTATTCTTAATTTATATATTGGACTTCAGAAGTTTTTTTTAAACTGCAAAATTGAAATCTATGAACCAGAAGATACACATTTAGAATTCATTTCTTCTTAGCCCATGAATTTGTTCTTACCATCAGAAGTGAATGAAGCTCATAATCATTCCACTACAGTTATAGACAGATAAGACGATAGAGAGATGATAAATTCTGCTTATTCTAAATTTCCAAGTTGTTTAGGGCAGGTATATAACTTAATTGTTTGATTAACATTTGGAAGTAAGAAGTTCTTAAATTATCATGGATTTTTTAGACGACTACTGATCCTCATAGATCTGCTTTTCGGCACTTGTATTGTGGGATAATCTGAGTTCTACAGGTATTTGAATGATGTCATAGGAATTTATCAGGCGAGATATACAAAAGTTCTGTTAACTGACGTAGTCCATATTTTGTGCAGTGCCAAAGATTTTACAAAGAGCAAACTTTTTATTTTGCCTGCAGAGTTTTACTTGGACAAAGTAGAGATAGCATTTTGGTTTTTTTAGTGGAAATAAAGCTTTGCTAAGGTAAGTATAAGCATAAATATAGGTCAGTGTTACATGCATTCTGTATTGCCCTTCTTGGAGAAAATAGAACTTTAGATATTGTGGCACTACACTAAATATTGTTTGTCCTAACAGCGTCTATATCGAGCTGACCATTTGGACAACATGCACAGATACACCCTGCCCCTTGACCGACCTGACCTCATAAGGGCACGGCTCAATGCATTGCACATCAGTGATGTAAGTAATTGTTCTTTTTCATTTGGAAGTCAAGCTCATAATCAGCATAATAACAAAGATTACTTCTCTTATATTCAAGCTATTTCGAGTAATATAATTTTGAAACTATAGTACAGGTAAAAAGAATATTGCAGAATCGGATCTGAGTTGGTCACTGGGACTAAAGGTTCCTTCTTCTAAGTTTGTGCTGGAGCCCATCTTCAGTTTTCTCTCTCCAGAAAGTACACAGATTGGATCCTGCAATATTAACTCCGGGACACCTATCTTTTCCTTCCTTCATGTAAAAGAATACTGCTGCCTGCCATTAAATGCCATAGACTAATTTTACAGATTAAAAACAGTCTGTAACAATGAATAGACCATGTTTCATTGTGAACAGTTAAATTATATGCATAGTCATATGAAAAATTGATACACAAATAATTCCATAAAGTGACCCGTTTAATCAATTACTGGAATATAAAAATAGCAGAGAACAATGCTGGAAAGGCTGCTCCAACACACAAAGAAGTAGAAGCAGGTAGCACATTTTGCATTGTACACTGGCAAACCTTTCCCTCTCATGTCAGAAGAAAAGAATAAGAGAGCTATATTGCTCATGCAGTTAGAGCGGCATTGCCATGCACAGATGAATGGCACAGTTGTATGTCGGGTATGTTCTGTTTCTTCTCAGACCATTCAAGTGGATCAGCATGTATCTGAACTGAAACAGCCAGTGAGTGCATGAGGAGGTGGAGATGTTGGGGGCATCTCATTAAAAATGAAACTGCTTTTGGTAGATACACAATTGGATCAGATGCCACACACAGAAAGCTGTTGAGGGAGACTGACCCCAGAGCACAGAGAAAAAGAAGAAAAAAAGCCATGTTGGTATTTGTAAAGCTGCAAAGATAGCCATAAATCAAATGAATGTAATGTGCGAGGATGAGTGCAAAAACTGTGCAAACTGTGATAAAGTAAAATGATGCATGGGGTTTCGAATCAAAGGATCTGTGTTAAGAATGAACTGCAACAGCAAGGCCAAAGATTTGCAGATTTAAAAGAAAGAAAAGGAGAGAGAGAAAAAGGAGAGGGAAAGGATAAATGACTAGAACTTGAGAAAAGGGTCTAGATTTGGATCTCATCCAAACTGTGAGAGGGAATGCCAAATTCTTCTAATATAAGTTCTGCAAACAAATTTATCTAAAGCTGCTCTTTAAAGAGGCCATCTGTTATAATTTTTGGATGCACGTTTGCTTGTGATCCATGTCATCTTCTCTTAAACAAGCATACTACTGACTATAGGAGCAAAATTTGTTAACATTTCAGGCCCATCAAAAACATGGAGATTGCGTTAATTTACCACAGAGTGGGGGGGAAATATTCATGAATCTAAGTAACCTGAGAAGGTGGGCGGAGAAATTCAGGACAAAGTGAATGGCTATCTGAGACAACAAATGTGGAAAGGTGGCAGCAAAGTGTGAGATAGCTGTGCACCATTACCATACATATCCTACTTCATCTAAAGCTAGGCTGCTGTCTCTATGAAACCCTTGTAACAGTGCTTAAGATGCTGCTATTAATCTGCTCAATATTCTATTTGTATGGGAGCTTCAAACCTGTGAATTTCCTTTTTGACAGGATATTGATGAAGTGAACCTAACCAGAAGTGCCATAATGTAAACTTTGAGGTTGACATACGATAGAGTCACAATGTGGGTCCCAATCTCTACCTGCTTCATGGGTTTCCAACTCAGAGCCTGAGGCCTTCTATTTGGCATTGTCTCTATGAATGTTTAGGAAAGCAATAGAAAGTGTCTCATTCATAAAACAGCAGAACTGCCGCTGGAAGTAAGACAACAGCTTGTTAATCTTGACCACGCATGAAGTCGTGGTCCACTTACATAAGAAGAAAGTGTGGATCTACATCTGAGTGCTGGTGAGAGTACATGCCTAGTTTTGCATCAAGGAGCAATCATAGCTGTGCAATAATGTCTATGGGTTACTGAACCTGACTGTGCAATAGATAGCTCTTTCACAGAGCAATAGGCATATAAACCCTGTCATGGTAGGCCGTGGCACCACCCTGTGAGGGGTTCCTTAAACCTGAGACATAGGAGAGCAAAAAAGCAAGATCATCAAAGTTTGAGACAGATTTAGGCCTTGATTTGCCATGTACTAATGCAGCAGCTCCTCCATTTTATGGTTTGAGAAACATGATAATACATAGCCCATTTCCTGTAAATCTTGGCTTTTTGGAAATTGAAGATTATACCCACCATCTTTTCTCAATCTGAGTTAAGGTCTTGAGATTGTATGTAATAAAATGGACTTCTGAGGGAAATATGGTGAATTGATTTTGTGAAATCAGAAACGATGACTGCGATAAAGACCAAGGAATTGACTGATTCACCGAAACTTGTATGAATAAGAATTGGATGGGAAACGTGCTCCAGATGGTTGCTCCTTTTGAGGAGACTCAGGACAGTAATTTTCCAAGGGTTTAAGACAATAGTACAGCCATTTTACTCGCAACCCCAACACATGCTTTTAAAGGGCACTGAGTTCACAAACTTCATTAAAAAAACCTATACAGTGGTTGGGGATGGAAGAAATGTAATCTAGGGAAGGGTATACAGCGTCCTTAGCTACAAGGATTTGCATTTTAAAATGATTCAGAAGGAGAAGCTTCATTGGCACCCTCTAAGCCTTGGCACCCTAGGTTTCTCAGCCTATCTCAGGATTGGCCCTGAGTCAAACAGAGAGAACTGAGTGGATTAGCTATAATACTTGCTTAGAAGATTTCAGGGTAAGACATTACATGGTCCTCATGATGATTTGAGTTGAGACCTCTGAATTATGTGGCAATGCTGAACACACAAAGAGCTTTTCTAGTGTGAAACCATTCTATTCCTATGTTCAGCTGTGTTCTCTTCATAATTTGTATTTAACTAATGCCTTAATCATATCTACTCTCTTATAAAGCACTTTAGATAGTTTGATGGAACCAGAAGGGTTTGGAGACAGCACAGAAGGTATTAAAATGTTTGACATCATACATAGTAGAAATGCAGCACTGAAATGTCTCTGCTGTAAAACCCAAATGCTACTGCTAAATGTTTCAAAAGACAGAATAGGGGCAATGTCAATGTAATATTGATGTGTCTAATGCATCAAAGCAAACTTTAATTACAACATTTGTGACTCTTTTCAAATAGGACATTGTATTTTGTATGTAAAAAAGTGAAGAGATGCATGCTAGCTTTTGAGTCATGAATAAATGATTGTAATAGAATCAAATATTAATTAATAAAGCCGCAACAGATATGTAAATAAGATTAATTGATTCTGTTTCCCCTTTGCTTTTCCATTTCTCAATGCAGAAACTATATAAAACATCTTGGGAGGAAACACGGGCAGCTGGCTATGATTTCAGATTGGATGCCATCCCTTTTCAGACAGCTAAAGCATCTAGAGAAATTGCCAGTGATGTATGAAACATTCCAAGATGTTTTTTTTTTTTTTTTGGCATTTAAAGGCCTTTATGCCCTGGCATATCACCCAGGATTTTTCCTATACAGTTTCAAAGAACTGGTTTTCAGTGTGATAAGGATCCCACAATAACAGCCCCTTATGCTAGTTTCACTAATATTGCCATTGAACTGCATATGAAAAAAAATATCATTAATATGCTGTGAGTTGGGCCTGTATTTTATTTCACATTAGTTTAAATGTATGTATGTATTCAGTCTATCATTCAGTCACCCAATCAATCAAATGAAAACCACTGGGTAAGTTCCGGGAGAAATTAACACTTCTTGCTGTTGTTCAGAAAGACGACATTAGGGTACATGTTCTCTTCTCGTCAAAGGCAAAGAAAATCATTTTTGCCCATTTTGTTCTATTTAATGAATTTGTGAAGAGTTTAAAAAATCAAAACTGATGCCTTAAGCCTTCACGGACTTAAAATATACCCACAAAACCTTGATTTCCTTTTCTCCTTTAAATTTCTTAAAATTTGGGAAGGATTTGCATGTACTGTAACATAATTAGCTGTATACCTTGTGTAGGGTACAAAGGCAGTAAATGGTTCCTTGCTGAAAAAGATTGCCTATTCCTGCTATACCTGTATGTGCTGCCAACACTTTGGATGCTCTGATGAAGAGTTTATCCTAGAGTTTTATTTTAAATTATGTAATTATGTGTAATTGTTGCTTTAAATATATGCTTTCTTCATATATTTTTCAACTGCAATGAAATGTTCCCAATCTAAAAATAATTTCAGCAACATAATTAGCATGCTGCACCATAATTTTAGCATTGATGCATTTATAGGCTACATGTAAAATGCTTATGGCATAATATGAAATTATGTGAAAGTATGCTTCCATATGGTTGTATAATGACATCCCTATGTCTCAATATTTTTTAGTTCAGATACAAAGAAGATTTCCTAAGGGACAGAGGTCAACGGATTGGATTTTGCAATGCGCGTGATGATCCTAAAATGAGACACTTCCGGAAGATGGGCCACCTCCAGAGTGACAACCAATATAAAAGGGATTATTTTAAAAACAGAGCACAATTCAGAAGTCAAACTGATCAGCCAGGATTTATTCATGCAAAGAAAAGCCAGCAATTAATAAGTGATGTCAACTACAGGCAGCGCCTGCATCAATACACCTGTGATCCGGAGCAGCTGAATCTCAAGCATGCCAAACAAGCCTACAAACTCCAAAGTGATGTAAGTATGTTAGGATCTATGGCCAAGGAGCCCATTCCAGACAAGAATATGTCTACTTAATAGACTCATTTTCAAATCCAAATTTAATGTTTATATTAAGGAAGCAGCTTAGAATTTAAAAAGTTGTCAGTAGTTCTTTTCCATAATATTACGCCATTCAAATGGGCTGGATTTCATCTTCCATAATACCCAGTCAAGTTTAGGAAAATTTGTATACAAGACCAGTTTTATCTTAACAACATTCTAAGATGGGAGGACTCATAACACCTGATTTTGGAGAACAAATAAGGTGGCACAAAACAGCTTACAGTACTCTGTCACCTGTTCTTGCCTATCACACCTGCTTCCTGGGGTCACCATTTTCTTTTCTAGGCCTTTAGTATATGTATGATTTGCTTCATCTGATTTTAAGTATTATAGTCTTGGAAGAGCCATAAAATTAGTACTGTATTTTGTTTTCTAGGTCAAATACAAATCTGATTTGAATTGGATCAAAGGTACTGGCTGGACTCCTCCAGGTTCTTACAGAGTGGAAATGGCCAGAAGGGCTGCAGAGCTGGCATATGCTCAAGAAACAGGATGTCAAGAAACCCAGGAACAGCATGAGCCAGATTATGTAAGTGAATGGATAGGTAACCTAAGCAATATTCATTATAATTTTTAGAAGCTTTGACTACAGATCCATTGTAGGGAAGACATGAAGATGAATGGCAATGAAATATAGGAATACAGGATCTGTTGGAACCAAGTCTGATCCCAGTATGCATCTGGGTAATTCCCTAAACTATTATTGGAAACAAGGACAGCTGAACTTGTGCTAGGTCTGTGAACATCTCAGCATTTCAGTTGGTTTGGATCTAAACCACTATTATTATTAATAATTATTAGAGTCATGAACATCTGTAGGTCATCACTGGAAGAAATTTCAGATAAATCTATAGTAAACAGTTTTATACAGTCAAGGTACACAATCCTAGAAAGAGACCTTTAGGACATTATTTCTGCTACTCAGCATATGATATATTGTTCAATATATTTGCTACAAATGGAATGACACAATAGTCTTTGTGGGGAGATAACATTCTGAATCTATTGCAATTGCAGGAGAAAATAACAGAAGGATCTCAACAAGTCCAGCTGAATCCTGATGCAGCAGAAGTTCTGCAGATGAAGAGAAGAAAAATGAAACTAATTAAGAAATGAACAGAAATACTGACATCCGTCTAATGAAAATTCATACATTTTTCAGCTTTATCTTCAAATCATGTAGTTATTCTAATCTCCCGAGAAGCAGAGTAGTGCACTGTTCAGAAATAGTTATTACAAAAAAAGACCTTTGCAAACTCTAAAGGAGTGATTTAACATTAAACTTTATATTTTTGCATGAAAAACTGTACCTGATTTTTTTAAAGCTATGTATTATACAATGTAGTATTTATGACAGCAAATTAGATTAGTACTAGATGACTGGCAGGCTCAGCTTTGTACTAAAAATATATGAACCATGATTTGCTGAAAGGAATACGTATATATATATTTATACTGAAAATAAATCAGTGAAATCACTTTCCAAAAAGTCTTCAGTTATTTTGTTGATTTGTTAATGATGTTCATTTCTGAATTCCTCTGTGGCTAAATTAATTCATGCCAGTAGGCACTTTTGCCTCCTTTTTTTAAAAAAAAACCTGAGTAAAAGATAGAGAAGATTAGAAATGCAGTGGCTAGAAGAAACAGTTTAATCTCCCATCTGTGCAGAAGTCAATTTAGAACAAGATTCCATATCTTCCTTTACTGCAAGATGTTCATTATATAAAATAGCATAACATAATCATTTGATCTTCTACTGGCCTGATCATATGTAATCGCTGATATTGGAGGTTTATTGTCATTAAATTAATGTTTGTAGAAATGAATGAAAAGGAAATTCTAGGGATTTGAAAACAAATATAAATAGGTTCGTTTGAGTCAAATGATGTTTGAATTCATACAACATTTGATATTTATTTGCACTGTGTATATCTGTTGTGGTCTGCTGGTGGTCTGTGTAGCTGGCAGCAGAGTTTGATAGTGAGGAGGTTGGGAAGAAACATGAGCAAGTCTTGGAGTCTGGGGAAGGCTCAGACAAGGGCTCTGCGTCAGAGACAGAGAGGGTGCCAGGGCCATCTGGGAATTATTTCTGTCTTTGGAGCTTCCAGAGTCGGAAATCAGTGAGGCAGAGGAACAGCGGGAGCCTGTTCCCAGTGCGCGCATACGCAGAGCTGCCAGAAGGCAAGAATAGTTAAAACAAAAGAGATGACTCGGGAGTAAGGCGTGGGGATGATTGGCCCTCCCATAAGACATAAAGGAAGAGCAAAGGCATGTGAGCCTTTGCAGGAAGCAACTTCATTCGTTCTGGTCGGTTTACATTCTGAAACTCAGTTTGACTCTGTACTCTTTGTGGCCTTGCAAAGATAATTCCCAATTAGGTCTTTGGCAGCGTCTCAAGGGAGATAAAGGTAGGTGCTTATCAGCCTTATCCCGAAAGACTTTGGCAGACTTCTGTCGGACTCTTTACAAACTATTTGTGACTTCTTATGGGCTGTGAATGAACATATTTCAAGCCGTTGAAATAAAGAGAAGGTTTTTGGGACTGTGTGTGCTTTTTACTATATCAGGAAGCCTAGGTCAGAACAATATCCTGGTTTCTGAATGTAAATTCTAACTTCACTGTTAAAAGAGTGATGTCTTCTGGTCTAATAATTCTCGATGCAACTAGTTTTATTATGAAAGTTATGACAGCCTTAAAATATCAAAAGATTGAAAATAAAACAAAGAAGATAAGTTTTCTACATTACTTTAAGCAAGGGTTGCATATTTACTTTGCTATTATATAAGCAAGCGAATTCTAGCCAAAATGCTATTAAGGTATTAGAGTTTTCATTTCTGGGTAGAAATTTGGCTAAAAATATTTCAGTGTTCAAATAGAAGAGAGAAAAGAATAAAATTTTTGAAAGGATAAATTACTTGATAAATTACTCTACTATTCTTGTTTTGATGACTACCATTCTTAGTTTTGAAAATTAGACGTGTGTGTAATTTTTGTTCTAATCCAATTGAGAAATCTTGTCACTCGAGTATAAACTCCCGGTTTATTTTTTAATCCACACTGATCTCCCCAGCTCACAATTCCATAAACATAGTAAGTGTCATTGGTAACACACGTTAGAGGTCCTCCTGAATCACCCTAATGTAAAAGATAAAAAAGACAATTAACATTTGCAACAAAAAAAATAATTAACACTTTATATTTTATACTTGATCCTGAAGAATTACATTAATGGAAAAGAAATAGGATCTTGGATTAAATTAAAATTAAAGTTCATGACTTTTTTTTCCTAAAATGTAAATCATTGCATTCAAAAGTGATGGTTTTAAAAAGTTAAATCTTAATTTAGATTTAGAAGGTTATCTGGGACTAAAATTAAATATAAAGAAGACCAACTAGCCACAAAACTGACAATGAAAATATCAAAATTATATGTAGCCGTTTAGAATCAGTCATCAAGTATAAAAGAACAAGCAAAGATAGTTTCAATTTACAACCACAATTGAGCCCAAAATTTCTGCTGCTAAGAGAGACATTTGTTAAATGAGTTTGCCCTTATGACCTTTCATGCCATAGTTATTAAGTGAATCACTGCTATCACTGAATTGTTAAGTTGTAACACAGTTGTTAAAGGAATATGACTTCTCCATTGAGTTTGCTTGTGGGAAGGTTACAAAAGGTGATCACCTGACCTTGGGACACTGCAACAGTCATAAGTACAAGCCAGTTGCCAAGCATCTTGATTTTAATCACAACACCATAGGGATGCTATAATTGTTGCAAGACTGAAAAACTTTGATCAATCACTAAATGAACAGTTCTAAATTCACGATTACCTGTATATGCTTTTGGTATTATGCTGAAAAGAGGGAAATTGGGGGATGTTATTTGATATAAGGAGTAGGTACATATGTAGCACATTGCCAGTCTTTACCATGTATAGTCTGTTTACATTTGGTTTGAAGAGAAATCAGTGTTCAAATACCAAAAAGCAACAAACCTGACAAGTATCTGCTCTTGTTCTCTGAAGACTTCCAGCACAAAGCATGCTTTCCACCACTCTGCTGTTATATGCATTTGGTGCATTACATTGCCTTTCGGAAATCAGTTTTACTTTGGCATCCAATAGCTGATGAGATGATTCACCTATAGAATGAATGCCACAAACACAAAGAACTCTTATTTCCTATCTTCTCTTTTCCATTTTGTGGCTGGGTTCAGAAATCATTGGTTAAAAATACTGAATTTTATTAATGTTACAGCAGAAGAAGGAAAAGGAAAGGAAAAAGAAAAGAAAAGGAAGGATGGAAAAAAATATTTTGTATCTATCTATATCTATCTATCTATCTATCTATCTATCTATCTATCTATCTATCTATCTATCTATCTATCTATCTATCTATCTATCTATCTAGTAATCTATCCATCATATGTTTAGATATATATTTAATATTTTTTAAATATAGTCATTTTAAAAGTATAATTATTGCATTTGAAGCTACATATTATATTAGGTCAACAAGACATTAACATTTCTAGCCTGTTAAACCTTCAAGATAAAAAATAGGATAAATTAAGTCAAATTTATCAATTGATTACATCAATAATTGTTATGCATGTACAAATTGTGCTTTTCTTTGGGCACTAGTAATGTCCTTATGCTAAGATTATGTTACATCTATAACTCACATTGTGCACCATACTTCGTACAGTCCATTAATGACTCAAAAATAGACAGTATTCTTGTACTGAACTTTGTTTTGTGAACTTTTGCTGATACTAACAAACCGGTCCACATCCAGAAGTCAAGAGAAGATATGAAAGGGCCAGTTTCCAATGTGCTATATGTGATGGACTGGAAACCCTCTTCCGTCTTCTCCTGGACTCCCAAAGTTGAAGTTGAAGGCAGCCACAGCACAGTTGTCATCACACAAGTGGCAGCACTCAGCAAAATCTAATGGGTCCAGTGAACCCTTGGCAGCAGTGGGAGAAGGTGGGAAAGAAAGCTGGGATAAGACAGAAAACAGTGTGCTATATTGCAGCAAGCCTGATGACTATTAGAGGACACCAAAGCGGCTCTCTAGAACTTCAAGTGACTGCAGCTATTTTGGAACTTATAGATGAAAATGCAGAAGGAGACTTTGTTCCTAGAGAAGATCCTTGTGGAATTCAAATCCTGACTGTATATTAGTTAGACTTAATTAATTGCCATGGCTTACTTATTTCTGTTTCTCCCCAGCCTGATATATAACATTCTGTGTTATCAGGAAATATAAAATCAGGCAAGCACGCAAATTTAACATAACTTGTTTCCACAGCACAGTGCCCATCAATTGGCTTTAATTTCAACAAAGCTGTAAAAAGAGAAAAAACACAGTATTTTAAAGCACAGTTAATTATATAACCACTGAATTGCACCTTAGCCTTAAATTTGCTGGTGAGATTTCTTCTAATTTCTCTGGGTCAGAGCTGAGTATTTTTTTTTTTAGATCTTTCCAATTTATTTCATTAATATGGTTTTTATATGCTTACATTAATGAAGTCATCTCTACACTTAACTTCTAATTTTGGCTTAAAAATAAAGCAGTAAAAGCAATAAATATATTTATACTAAAACATAATATATTGTTTTGTAAATTTTTGGAGATGAATTTGCTAGATCTCTTTATTGTAACTTAATTGCAGTATAGTTTAGTTTTTTCTTCTCAATATTTAACCTACAGCAGTGTTTTTAGAGTTCAGCTAAAGTTTCCTTCTTTCCATTCCTAGTGGTAATGATTCAGATTTATCCATGACATAAAACAGAAACTTGCCAATATCATTGTATGGGATGCCATCCTGCTCTGTATAGTGTCCATGTTTAATGATTTTGTCTACATCAAACTTTTGTTCATGTTGCTCTTTCCTTTTGAGATTCTGTTCTCCAAGGGACACCTGGAGGTTGTGTGCTTCTGTCCTATGAAAGAAAATAGCCCATTCTCAAAGAACAATCAGTCATAATTATAGAACTTCATAAATTACAGAGAACTGCACCAATTTCATCCAAATTCATCATACAAATTGTTTCTAGTAGATTAACCCATACTAAGAAGAGTGAATCCTCTGTTATACAATTATACAATAATAAAAGCATTATTTTAAAAAAACTCGACACGTTGCCAAATTATAAAATACTAGAGTGTGAAGATAAGACTAGGCCAAACACATTATCTCAAAAGCAAAAGACAAAGTTAGTGTTTTTCTGAATTTTATTCAGCTGCCATGGCTTGTGCATTAGCATTAGCATTCTATACAATTTTATATAAAAGAAAGAAGGCTACCTGTCAGATGAAAAGACATGGGGCAATCATATTTATTCTCCAAACTGACATGGCTACTTTCCCCACCTGACTTTTGCTATCTAAAATTGTGCACTTTAGACTCTTCTATCTACAGATGAAATCAAACAGTTAGGGGTTTTGTTTTGTTTCTTTGCATTTATAGAAAATGAAAAGAAAATTAACTGAATTCAGCAAGGATGCTTACGTGACACAGTGTGCTGCGGTAAGAACCCAGCATGGCTCAATCAACACTCCTCCACAATAATGTCCCTTAGGTACACCTGCTGAAATCTTCCTCTGAAGAGATGCTTGCCATGGATGTTTGCCAGGAGCTGACTTGACACCTCCATAGATTCTCTTGAATGGTCTTATTATTTCTGGTTTTCCACATGTTCTGTATGTATTACTTACTACTGGATTATTGAAAGAGGTTGTTATATTCATGGAGACTTTTGCTGCAATATAAAGAATGTAATTGAGACTCTATTAGTAAGGTTAGGCCATAGAGATCAGTTGGCACTGTGTTTGCTTACCTCCATCTCTTCGATGTAGCAGTGTCCCTGCTCAAGCTCCTTGATTCTGTGGCTGGTTTGGCAAAGAAGTTTCCCACACTTAGAGATGGCTCAGGAATTCACGGCCATCATGGGAACCATGGACCTGATCCAACTTTTCGAAGATCCAACTCCACTGTGGAGATCTGATCTTTGTCTGAGGGCAGTGTTATTGTGATCTGGGCTGGGAAACATTACATCAGCCCTTTGCCATGGACAGATCACTCCCTTTTGATTCTTGATTTCTCCATACTATTCTCCCACTGGAGGGAGGGAGGGCCTATCATCCCACACCAATTTCCAGAAAGATTTTTTTTTTTCTGGAAGCTCTGAAGCATAGTTCAGTTGAGTCATTTGTTGTGGCTTTAATTAGCATGTCATGTGGGGTCTGGATTGAATTGGATCAATATGATTTCAATTTACTGAGGAGCTGTATGAGAAGAAATGACACAAGAGATGACTAGAACACTACTGGCAAGAGCTGAAGGGTAAAATGCCACATGCCCAGGAAATAGTCAGAAAAAAGGGAGCTTAGCCCAGAGAAGACTAATCCAGTTAAAGTACAATAAAGCAGAATTAATCCATCTGAGCATGCATCCTTTTTGAATGTTCATTAAATGTTGCCTTGTCAAAGGACTTAGACAACACCCTTTCTTGATAGTAGCCTTTGAAACATCTCACCTGAGATCCAGAATAACCCTATCTTCCTGACCTTTCAAAAAACCCTGACTTTTCCCACAAGCATTGGGGCAGTGTATGGCTGATGTTCAGAAAAGTTGTTTATTTGTTGTTTTGGGGGAAGTGGAAACTTTAAAATATTGATTTTATACTTTTTATTGCTTAGTTACTGTTTGTATGCTGCTCAGGGTTATAACATAAGATGGGTGGTTACATAAATCTTTTAAATTAATCAACAAACAACATTTGGACTTTCTAAGTGGTATTTAAGAATAATATGATAGCATCCTAAATATGGTATTAACAAATGCCATATTTGTTTGGAAGATCACTGACAAAATGATGACTGCCTTAACTTGGATATGCCTTACATTCATCCATTGGTCCTAAAATGTGAACAATAACATCTAAGGAAGATATTACAGTGACATAAGGTACTAAAATCCTTTTCTGATTACAGTGGCTAGAAATATGTTAAATAAATAAAGGAAATTACTTAAAATCTTAGCTTTAAAAATACAGACTGTCACTATGTAAGAAGTATATATATAGGATTAGATTACACATGTCTCATTGGGTCATTGTTTCAGATATATTTGCTTACCAAAACAGAGAAACAGAATGACCATCAATGAACAAAGAGAAATGAGACAAACTTATTTCTTATCTGCTTCCCCATTGAGTTTCCTCCATCCCTCATTTTTCCTTCCTTCCCTGCCTTCTTCCTTCCCTTCCTGTCTCACACTCTAGAATACCTGACAGCTTTCCTATTTATTTTGCTTGTGGAAAGCTTGAAAGAAGAAAGTCAGTTGGGAAAGCTAGCAGGAAATTGCAAGTCCGAGTAGCAGGCAGGTAAGTGGCTGCTACCAGATGGATCCAGATGGTATGTGGGCTGAGCAAGTGGTGCAAAATGAGTTAGGAAAGGTATGCACTCAAAGCGCCATGTAGTCAGAGAAGGCATCTGAGTGGGTGACATAGGTTGATAAGGGTGATTGAAAGTAGATGATGGGTATTGTGCAGTTGTGTATGACATGTAGAAGGATGGAAGAGATCCAGAATGTTGGAAACATGGGAATGTGTAAGAGGTGCTCTATGGTTGAGGATGGTGCATGGGGAGAGGGATGGGGAAAGTGCTTTCGTTCATTGGGAATATGCAAAAGGTACTGTGCAGGTCAGGGAAGGTGGGGTACAGGATTCAGATTGGGAATGGTGCTGAATGGGTTAGGGAAGGTATGTAGGACAGGTTGTGGAGGAGTTGTGGAGATATGGTAGAGATATTGCACAGGTCAAGGAAGGCATTGGGGGTGATGTGGAGATCAGAAAGGTATGTATGTGTGTGGGGGTGCAGATCAGGAAGAGGGTGTGGATCTGTGCAAGAGGTGCTACAAGGGTTGGAAAAGCCATGTGGAGAGGCAGTGCAGTGGCTGGCATAGGTCAGTGGAATGCACAAAGAAGTAGATGGACTAAGAAGGGTGCATAGGGGATACTTCTCCTTTTCTTCCTTCTTCCTTTCCTTCCTTCTTTCCTTCCTTCCTCTCTTTCTTCCTTTCCCCCTGCCCTTCCCTCTTCCCTTCTCTATTCTTGCATTTTGTGCCATTTTGACAAGTTAAAGACAAAAAGACTTTTTATAGTGTTAGTTAAATCAATTTTATCGATAACTCTCATCTGGATTTTTCCAGTCACACTCTAGTAGGTCTACTGCAATGGTTTTCAACATATTCTGGTTCCCAATTGATTTGACCCAAAGGGAAATAATTTCTTCTTACCATATTCCTAAAATATTATTTAAAATCTTCGATTAGAAATAGTTCCATTCCAAAAAAAGAGTACTACAGCATCAAATAATCAAATAAGTCTCCTTAATTGCACTGTAAGAATCATTCAGAATATTTTTTTCTACATATATAACTCATTAATTTTTTCCCCTGTTTTAAATTTCATCTTCTTTAATATCTCCTAGCAATAGACATCTCAAGATACTTTGTTTATGTGGTATACTTTTTGATTCTCTACAAATGAGAAATCTTCCAGTATCATTAAAGACTTTGGCATCATGTAAGCTGTGCTCTTGAGGTAGATGGATGACACAAAATCTGCAGTGATTGCCAATCTAAATTAATGCCATACTAAATTAATGTTACACTGAATATACACCATGTTATTACTATTTATTCTACCTGTTGACAAGCATGAGGGGACATCACAGAAATCCCATTTCAATTTGTTATTCACATTGACAAAGCACCAGGGTTTGTCATCACCATCTGGATTCCTAAAGGAGAGAAGTTTCAAGATTCACCTGTCAGAAGAATGGATCTTCAGAAAAGAAGTTATTAATTGAAGAACTGATAAGCAGTGAAACTGAACAATGTTCACACTGTAATATCAAGTCATTCAGAAACCAAGAAGACAAATGTGATTAATAATGGCATATTATCAGTTTATTGTTCTTACCCGCTAATAATATTGTGCCAATGCCTAAGCTGAATTTTTATGCTTTTGTAGTCATGCTGTCAGCATTCATTTTTTAGGAAAGTATTTGGGTATCAAAAGCATTACCTAAAGTAGCAATTATTTCTATGGTGAGATCAAATATTTCTAATCTTTTTCTGTAAACAAGAATGAATTAATTGCACTAATCTATTGTGCTGTTATTCCATCACTGCTAATAGGAACAACCTAACTTGCATTTTACTGACATAGGAGTATACAATCTGGTATCAAAAAATCCTCATTTGTCAATCATCAGGTTCTTGTGGAGTCTCAACATGATTTTAAATGAAATTGCAAACTGGCAGGCTTAGCATCCATTCTTAAATTTAAAAATGGTAACAATGTCTAGGAAAAGGAGATGGGAAAGATGGAGAGCATTCCAGGAGACTAGAAAGTGGTAAAGAGTCTGTCATCTTGTAAGTGAATATTTTATGATTTGTTTTTATGGTAAGAAATCTTTATTAATGGCTGAATTGAAGATGTCCTCAGAACACAGCCAATGACTGAGAGGAGGAGCCTATGTCACTACGAAATGGTCACCCGATCTCGATGCTCCGAGATCGCCCCATACTTTTTTGGCTGGGTGGTCCAATTGGACCTAAACCGTCCCATAGAGACGGTGAACAGGAAGACTACATTCTGCTGATCACAGGGACATCGCAAAGTCCCTGATTGATGCAGGAGAAGGTCTTTCAGCTGGCGTTAAAAGCTCAGCCCCTAGGCTGATGAAGTAGGGACGACTCCAAAATGGAAGGAAATGGAAGAGAAAGTGTTTACAGCTGGTGAGGAATTTTTACCTGTTTTAAAAGAGCCTGCTTATAAAAAAAAACTTAAAGCTAATTTAAATCTAAGAATAAAAGAAATAAGCAGTGGAATTAAGCTTTGGATGGTTTTGGTCAGTGTGTTATCTTAATTTTTAAACATTATTTTCATGGTTTGAATTTATGCAAACTGTTTGAAATGAATGGATCAAGTTTTCTTCTTCTAAAATTTTTACTATTACTTTCACAACCTACGGACTAAACTTCTCCTTATTCATCACTACATGTGTCTTTTACTCTTTCTTCTCTATTTCATGTCAGAATTTGACTTTTTTAAATACTTGGAATATTAAAAGATACAAAAAGAACAAAGAGAATTGCAACAATTGTAACAACAAAGGGAGAGATAACTGCTACTCTAAGACTGGAAACTTGAGTATTGAAAACAAAATACTTTTACTTTCACTACTGATTATTCTGGTCTGGAACTTTAAAGTGTCACAGTTTGTTTATAGAAAGTGATAAGAAGTAAAGCACCATTTGTTTATACAAATGTTCTTTGAAGTATATCCTTAACCAGAGATCTCATGGTGAACCTAGGTATAACCTTGTAAAAATCTTCCAAGTCAGAGCAGCAGTGTTTCTACAGCTGGAAACAATGGCTTATTTCTAACAACAGAGAGAATCTGTCAGTTTGCAAGAGATAATATTTGCAATACAAAAATTATCAAATACATTTGAGAAAATGTTTGGAAAAAAATAGAGCACCTAACAGAAAAATATGATGAAAAGGATGGAAATGCTTATCAAATGGAAAAAATAAAGGATACAGTCCCAAGCAATAAAGAGAAAAATGACTACAAAGAAATCAAATCTGCTGACATCTATGGTGAATGGTTTCTGTCTGGAAATGGAAAAAGTGGAATATGGAAAGGGGAACCAGATGGATGGGAACCCTACCCTAGATGGCTAGACACAGAAGAAAAAAATAAAAGAACTTATGAATTTAAAGGGAGAAATTTTATTAGCAACACCATCAATAACAACACTGACAATTAAAGACAAGCTGATTAAGGAAAAAGACGAAGGGCATTGAAATTACATGAGAGAATCAATAAACAAGGAGATGCAAAGAAGAGTCCATACAAACTTGATTAAGGAGACGATTAGAGGACTAATGCCACAAATGGCAGAAGACATGAGACTGTTTCACTACTGGAAAGATACAGGCTGATAGATGAAAGTGTTTAACCTAAAACTAGTTGGATTTAGTGAAATTTAGTGACATAGATATGGTTAAATAAACAATTGAAAATGATAATAATGTATACATATGTATTGGTATAACAAGTAGTAATTGGATATGAATATTGAATGGTAGCTATGAAAGAAAGATGAGAAATTGTTTGGTTGCATATAAAGATTAATAAAAAAGAACTAAATTATGATAATGAATATAGTCAAATAAAAGAGAGATAATGATAACAATGTATATATAGGTATGGATACAACATGGGGAAATTGGATGTAAATTGTAAACAGTGATTTGAAAAGGAAGATTAGAATTCTTTTTTACTAAATGTTATTGATGTTTAGCTAGAATAGGCCATAAGGATCCAGTGTGTTTTGGGGATACTAGAAATAGCAAATGAGATGCCAGTATGTGGTTATGTCTTGAGTTTTGGTATGTTTTATGATGAAGGACATTAAAAAAATTATAGTCAAACGAGAATGGGGGTAGGATGATGGTAATATGTACTAATATATTTGATTTAAAATACTAGAATTAATATGAATCATGTGTGACTGTGAAAGAAATCCACGAAAACTTTTTGTAACCAACTGATACACTTTCTACAGTATGTAAAGAAAGAGGATTTTTTGTGTTGTGTCTGTTTTGAAAAATAAAAAAAAACTTTTAATTAAAAAAAAGAACACAGCCAATGACTATTCATTATTTAGTAATATTTGATTTGAAATGGGGATATAAATAAGAATGATATTCTGGGAATTGGGCTTTCTTGCATACACAGAATACCTGCAGAAGTTATGATCGCCAAGGCCATAATAGTCAGCATGTTCCATAAATGTGTTATAACTACTGTCCAAAAGAAAATGAGAATTCCAGTGAAGGCATTTTTTCTGGAGGATTGTTTGGCTAACATTTCCTCTGTATGTGTGGCCATTTTCTTCAAAGCAGTCCTCAGGCCCTACAACAAAAAATGGTCATTTTTTGAAAGATATTTTTGTTTGATTTGGGCCTGTTCTGACATTTTTTTTTCTCCTCTTCATTCTTAGATATATAAACCCACATAGAATTTGAGGCTGATGTTTCACAAAAATCTGTATTCCAGCGTGTTTAGATTTATCAAAAAATACCGAAATTGGATATTTTGAATTACTTTTTACATCATGACAATGATGATCAAAATTGGGCTCAAATCAGTTTTATGTGTAAAAGTGTACACAATAAAGAATATTAATCAGTTTTCGTAAATTACTAACAGATAATTAAAAAGATCAAAGGTTAATTTATCCACCACAATCCCTGTAGTAGTCACACTACCACTCCAAAACACAAAAAATTCTCTTACCTAGTTCACAAAATTTTCCTCTGAAAGCTTCAGGGCAGTTGCAGCTGAATTTATGCCTTAAACGATGCCTCTGACAGGTGCCTCCATTTCTACAAGGATTTCGTTGACAAGCTGAGGATGCTAATATTCAAGAATTAATTCAAATATTGTATTTAAATGAGATTGATAGCTTGTTCAAACAATGTAACAAGCTACTCATTCAAGGACACTTTTTATCCACACAAACAAAAAGATAAGTGGAGTTACTTCTAAAATCTCCTAAATCACTTTTGCTCTGTCTATGGGCTCATTGGTACTTAACATAACTCCATGCAGGCGTTATATTAGTGAATCAAGGGGAACTTTTCATATGCAAGCACATATAAGGATAAGTGGATTTAATATGGAAAATCCAAAGTCTCCCCAATCTAATCTTTATAGGCCCATTAAAATAACTTTATGCAGGCTGTCCTGACCAATGTTTGCATTTAAGAAATAAGTTAAGAAACAACTTTATAGTGAAATGTTTTTGATTTTAGAGGATAATTTAGAGCAGGGGTGTCGAACTCGCATCGTCACAGCTGCATCAGATGACATATCGTGACTTTTTCCCTTACACAAAACTGGGTATGGGTGTGGCCAGCACATGACACATCCGGCCCGTGGGCCATGAGTTTGACAGCCCTGATTCAGAGAAAAACAGTTGTGATTCTAATCCATAGAACACAGCAGCAGTAGACATAATGCTAGAAATTGGTTACTAGTATGACAACAATAATTTGGCTCACCTTTTTTACATAATGGTGGTTTATATGGATATCTACAACTGCATTGATAATAAGGTTCTCTTAATATAATCAGACATTCTCCTTGACGGCAGTTGATTCTTTTGCATGTATTTTTCACTATAGTATACAATAACAGTAGAAAGAAACAAGAAAGGTAGATTTTTCAAATTTTGGATATTTGATAAAAACAGACTATGTAGTACAAGGATTGACAATGGAGCTACCTAAATGTGCAATTTCATTATAATTTCTGGTGAAAATTACAGTTACAGAGTTATAAAACAGTAAATAATCACACAATTCATACTCTTTCATCCCCCTATACATATGGAAATACTCATAAACCTGTAGAAAAAAGCAATATTAAAGCACTAGAAATACCAATATACAGTTGAATTTTAAATATCTCATCTACACATAAATAATATGAATTTGTATGCTTTATCTTCATATTATAACAACAGTACTATATATTACTAATTATTATCTATCACTAAGTTGCAGTGGTGTTTGAAACAGTATACAAAAAAAGAAAATATTTTAAATTTGAGTCCCAGAATTCCAAGCTAGGTTGGTCAAGGTCTAGAATCTGCAATACAAGAATATTTGGAGGCAAGAAAAGCTGGATACAGATATTTCACAGTCAATGAATTAAATTTGTTTTTATTTATATTATTTAGTTATTTTGAGCAGGAAATTTTATTCTCCTTTAGGGATTAATGCTTGGACAGTCATGATCATTTACAATTTTTCTGACATTATGGGTGCAAAGGTCAGCATGGTGAAATATGTAGATATCATTAAACAAAAGAGGCGAAAACATTTTTTTGAAATCCCAGAACAAGATAACATTCAGACATGAATCAGGTAGATGTTTCCCTAATTAATTGAACTATAAGAAGATAAAAAATATACAGCATAATCATATTTGAAAAATTGTGTTACTTTAGCTAATTTAAATAAAAGTCATTTTGGATAAACTGAAATTGATTTCATGCTCTGTCTACCTAGTGGGACTAAGATTGGGTTGTAATACTTTGCACATATAAATGCCCTTATCCTACTACAATTTCTTCAATGGATTGATTTTGAAAAATCCCATCCTAAGCAGTCAAATGCTTTACAGATGTCAAATGTAATTATTAAAATATAGTTTTGTGTTTAAAAACTTCTTAATTTAATAATATGCTGACTGGGAATTTGCATATGGTCTGACATTTTTAATAAATGTATTTAACTATTATTATAGCTACAATATATAAAATTTCATGCCTTCATTTAGTAAACAGTAGATTTATATGAATGCACTGTATTAGTGAACCACTATGACTATAAAGTCTTCTCATGTTTTATGAATTAGTTCATAAATTCATAGATACAATTAAATAATTTTATGAAATGTCTTCCTTAATTTTTTAAAAATAAAGTCACTTGATGAAACTATTACATCCTCATAATTAATTATGCTAATATACATGATTTATTTCTTATACCTATTTTAAGCCAATATATAGGTACTTCATTTACAGGATTAATTTCTATTTTATTTCACTAATTATCTATCAATAAGTTCGATTATGTACCTATTTTTGTAACATTTAGCAAGTTTTTGAATAATTTCTGTAGTGCTAAATTATCATTTTGATTTGACTGGCTAATATTTAAGAATGCAATATTTTATACAATTATATATCAGCTATTTAGTTTAAAGCAATTCTCCACAAAATATTCAATTTTAAATATTATTTAATATCTATACTGCTATAGTTATATGAGAGTGCTATTAACTTGTTTAACATAAACTGAAGATATTCAGTCTAATAACTGAATATATTCATATTTATTTTCTACATTTAGCTATAGTTCTATTGGAATATCAGAAGACTTCCATGCATAAATGCTCCAGACACATCTAATGATTGCTTAGTGAATTCATATTGCTTACATTTATGTACTTTATTCATTTTTTCCAAATGATTCTGAAATGTAATGAGAACTAAATAAAATGACCACAATTGTTTCCAACTCCTGAATAATTGTTTTATGCTTTGATAATTGTATTATGATCTTACATTTTCCTTCTTCTGCTGCATTCCAAACTTTTTTTTTGGTTATTGGTGAAATAACAGAGACTTGAAGCTAATATTTTAAACTCTATTTTGTTCTATTTCAGGACTAAATCTCTTTCTCAAGTATCGCTCCTATGTTCCATTGTTATTATACTCCATGTCTCAAAATGGAAAATGACAATCTTTTGAACAGACTAGAATATTTTCTATTCTTGTGAGTATATTTTACCTCTCAGTTTAGGAAATCAATTTTGGCTTTTTTCCCTTGTGGTAAATTAATTTCCCTTATCATCTATGCTTGAATCTGTCTTGGTTTTCAGAATTCTTTTATGAAAAAAATATATGTATATAGGAATCCTAGTATACAAAATGAGACTATTCCATTCATGTGAGGATCACACCTTTGCACATGTTTGAATTTTCCTTGTCCAGAATTTGTTTATTGTTTTATAAGGAAATATATTCAACAAAAATATACATCCATTTTTGTGTGTATTCATGATTGGAAATTATAATGAATTCTAATGGGACAACCCAATTAAAGTGACAAAGTAATATAGAAATTAAAATTATATTTTAAATTGGAAAGTGCTTGCAAATTTCCATCTGACTTTTAGAATGGAATGTAAATAAATCTATTTTATATTTTGTAAACTATATGATTTATAATAGTATCTACATTTTTCAGCTTTCTGTAATAGTAGTTACAAGAGCAAGATGTATCTTACCACGCTCACACTTTGATCCTGTGTATGGTTCAGGGCAGGAACATATATAGCTGTTTCTTTTTCTTTTACAGATTCCATTATTCTGGCATGGGTTTGTCTGGCAGGGATTTACTAGCACAGAGAAATAAATTAGAAGTTTATATCTTTAATTTTTTTGATCTTTATCAATTTTTATTGAAAGGTTTCTCACCCAGAACACTGATGTTTGATTGCAATGGCAGATTTATAAAGTGATAGAGCGTTCTCAATTTCCCCCAGATCTCTATTTAGCTAAAGATTGTATTCCTTTCACGTCCCATATTCTGTTTCTCATTCTTATAATGTGAATAACGAAGTACCATCGTGAGTGAAGAATTCATAAATCCAATCAGAGTCAAAGAAACTAAATCTGATTTCGGTTTCCTCTGGATCTGTATAATCAGTGCTGTATTCATCATCATAGTCATCAGCAAAGTCTGCAGGTATATCAGAAACAAAACAGACTATAACATGAATGAAAAGTAGCATTTCAAAGTTATTTAGTGTAGCAAATATGTATTGATCTGGTAAAAGTAAACTAGACAACATTATAGAATAAAAATGGTGATTATCAGCAAATTTCTATTCCTTTGCGTAATGTACTGCAGAACACAAAACAGCATGGGGGCATATTTTGAGCCCTTAGAGGAAGGTGGGATATAAATATAATAAATAAATAACTTCAACCAGGAAATGAAACTTTAAACTCTGAAGATGTGGTCTGGATCATTAATTGACCGTTATTCATTTTCACAACAGTTTTTAGAAAGAGTTGAAATCTGACGCAATGACTTGGCATAGATTGTTTCATGCAGTATAATATTTTGAAGGTATGGTTGCAATCCTTTTATATATTTACAAAAACATTACACAGTACTGTCAAAGGCATGAGCCTAATATGCGGTACTCCTTGAATAGCTAATCATATTGTTATGGAACCTGTATTCAACTGATTGTCGTTGCAGATAGATAAAAAAAATCTTATATTATACAACAAGGTAAATAACAAAAACTTTAATGCACCATCTTCCTTGACACAAATATTGCTGGGATATTTTGTAGTCATATCTTGAATTGTGTTTCTCTTTTGATCAGTCTTGTGTGCTCATTGTAGCTCACACTATATTATGGACAGAATAGTAAACTGGATTGCCCAATAGAAAAAAATATTCTTGATGCATTACTTTCATTTCAACTTGAGAATAGCTCTTGGTGTTAATGTGAATGTATACATCTTCTCCCACTCACACATACATGCATTAGATACATTTTCCAGTTGATCTTTTGAAACCTTTGTTACTATATCTCAGATATAAAAAAAACTTGTACCAAAAAAACCCCTCATAATGACATTTCAACATATATGGGAAAATGTTTAATATTTATTTTAAAAAATTAGATTAGTATATGTTTGTGTAGGGTTAATACATAGTCTATTTTGGGAAGTAGTCTACATTCTATACCTAGTCAATGACAAATGTTCTGTTTATTGTTGCACTTCAGGATTGTATCTCAACGTTTAATCCAAACTGGCATTGTTCAAAATCTTTTTATAAAACAGTTTATTTTTTTCCCTTGATATCTATAGACTACTCCTATATAATACTGTGATGGGCTTGCAACATTTGTTATGGTCTTCCAGGTAGGAGAAATGCCTTGTTAAAAGTAAATAGAGTGCTTCAAAATCCCGATTCCATTCAGGAGCGCTGCTGGAATCATTTCATCACAATCAAACTAGTACTGGATAAAGTACAGGTAATTATTCTGGTGTTAGTAGCCATGTAAGAGAAGGGACATATTCATGAACAAAGGAAACAAGTAGGAGATTCTCCTTAACTTTGATCATGGTGCCACATTTCCAGTGCACAGAAACAGATCTTTGTTCATAGCCATGGCTCTCAGGATACCCATTGACAAATAGCTTTCTGAATAGGAAAGTAAAGATGGGACACAGTTCTTTCCATAGACTTTTCACAGAAGTAGTTGATTAAGATGGGTCAGCCGCTCTTTCCGGCAGGTGTCAGTGTAGTTTGTTGGAACCACTGGTGAGTTTCAAAGAGCAGGTATGGTAATGAGCAGAGTGAAAATGCATACAGGGATACCTTTAAAAGCTCTCCCCTAGGGCTGGGCCGATGGCCTGGTGAACAATGTGTTGCCTTGAACTGCTTATCAACGGCATTATCTTAGTTTTCTCAACTCATTCATTCGATTGCTGCCTTTATCTTTGTTCTTCCTTTGCTTCTGATGAAAAACACTTTTTTTGTACAATGAATGCTTTATATTCCATATTAAAATAGAAACTTCTTTTTTCTATGGACCAAAACTGGTTTCTTGACGGTTAAAAAAAAAGTTTCACCTCATTTATCGTTATGTCAAGTCAAGACTTCTTTTATTCACTCATTATTTCTCAAGAGTCAAGCCTTTGCAATATGAAAGTGCTGCAGGACTGCATACCAGGCTGAGGGATAAGGAACTCATTCCAAGATAGGGCCATTGTCTCCATGAGCAAATAAAGTTTAATGCAAGGTAATGAAAAGGAAAGGAGCTCATACTTCAACCTGACAGTATGTGGGATTATTTTGCAAAAGTTAGAACTTCTCTGTTTATTTATTAAACTTTGTAGTATTAAAGGTGTCTTTGGCTTTTTATGTGGCAAATATTGTATAAAAGAAATAAAAAGTTCCCTCCCTTTTTCTAAACAATAGAATCCATTTTGGCTGTATGAGAACCATCTTTATAGTTTTTCAATACCCCATCATGCCCATGGATGTCTTCTTATGATTATTGTTAGCTCAGTTTGTTCAGGGTTCCTAATCAAGTATTAGGAATCAAGTAACATTCTGTGAACCACAAAGATCTATTCAAAACATCTCTTTCAAGATAGCTTGCAAGTGTTATTCCTTTTGCTATTGATGTTCATTTTTGTGACCATTTTTAGTCATTTGATTTAGATATTTTAGACTTTTTTCAAAGCCTGCTTGGGACAAAATGTCTGCTTTGCTGCACTATTTTTGTGGAAATAATAGAAGTCATGTTGTTATAACTGATCAGTTGTACATTCGTCATCAACCACTTGGTATACTGATGTGTACATGATTATAAATTTGACCCCACATGCAATATCTATCTTGATTAAAGGATTGATCATATGCAGCATTATATACTTTTTCAGGATTTGGCAATAAAAAAAGTAATCATCTAGTGAGGAAAATAAAACTAAGCTCTTTCTCTACTATACAAATCTTTGTATGGTACAACTAGTAATTTAATCATCATATCCATGCAATATTTTCTTCCAGAACATGTTTTGTGGCATGATTAAGATTATTTCCATATCTATTAGAAGAGTAGCCAAACCAGAGCCTACCATGCATTCTCAGGTGCCATATGGAGTAATTGCAAAAATATCTACTTGGCAGTCATAAAATTTCTATCAACTATGAATCCAAGTGAAGATTAAACATCAGTAGAGATTCTGCTGGCCAGAAAACCAGAAAAATCCCAATATAGGATTTATATAATATTGTTATATCTACTTGACATCTTTATTTGAGAAATTTGTGATCTAAATATGAATGTATGTAGGTTCAAAATGGATTTTGCCTGGTATCTTACATTTCTAGCAACAGATAAGTTTAATTTCCTCACTGCTATCTTTTAAAAGGGCATTTTCTAATATTTAGTACTAATAACTTTTGATCAGTTTTTTTTTTTACTTTTTGCACATCTTGTGTTGCTATGACGGAAACTTGCTTTAAATTCAAAACTCAAAAAGATCCTTCCTTTTGAATTAATTATAGAATTAATCATTCTATAATAGGAAGTGAACAAAATATCATAATTAATCCTGTTTTTTCTTTTCACTGCTGATGTTAAAGAATATGCAAGATCAACATATTCCTGAAATAGGTTCCGTGCTAGGTATTGAGCATGATTTCTGCCAAAAAGTGTATCTGGCTGGAAGTTTAATTTTCCATATGATATTATACAAGTCATCATACTTGTGTGATGACTTACTTATCTACTTAAAGGCAAGAGTGAGTTAAGCTTCTTGCCCAATAAAATCAGAGCTGGATGCTATGAGCCAAATGTTCATAGCCATGAGATACTCACGCTTTGTCAAATTATTGCAGCCATATAGTGCAAGTACAGAAGACACTTTCACTGGCATTCTTCTCAAAGCAAAAGTTCTCTGAAATGGTCACATGATCCTAATTATTAATTGCATATTTTAACAATGTAAATGTTGTGATCTATTTGTGACAAAAAACAACATTAAAAACCACAGGTTTACCAGGTTGTTGGCCGAACCAGAATGATATAATCCCAGAATGCTGAAATAAAAGAGAGAGAGAGATAAATATGAGACTTAGTAATGCTATATAAGACAAATCAGATATAAATGCTATCTGTCAACCAACAACCATGTTGACGCAGTGATTAGAATGCAGTATTGCTCAATAATTCTGCATTTCCACTGCCAGGAGTTCAATTCTGACTGACTCAATGTTAATTCATCCTTTCAATCTTCCGAGGTCAGTAAAATATAATTGTTAGGTGAAATCTGCTGACTCCGTAAACCGCTTAGAGACGGCTGTAAAACACTATGAACACTAAGAATACAAATCTAAGTGCTATTGCTATTAATAAAGTAGTTCCTTTAAAAAAAAAACAGTTTCAATACTTTCAATTCCCTTTAAAATAAATGTCCAGTATAGTTAAAAATAATATATATTTCAACCAGCAAAAATAATGTCATATTTAGTTAAGTCTTTTATAAACTACTTTTTCCTATTAACTGCAAATATTTTAATTAGGCATGTAAATGTACACTTTCAGCACAGGATTAAGATTAAATAACATTATGTTTATTAAGTTAGTTCTATTTAGTTGTTTAAATTTGGCTATTAAACTGTGAACTATTATATTGGGTGACATTTTTAAACTACTACCATGACTTTCATATTTGCTTTGCACTTTGGTAATGTTGTATTATTATTGTTATTAGAAAGTGGCATGATGTACAATCATTTTCAATTATGGAGATAAACAAAAGGGTAACTCTATAATACATTGCCACTTTTCTTGTCTTTTATTTTGGACAGATCCACACTTCTACTTGCTTCATCTCCTGGACAGGTTACTCAGTGTTTCTTGAGTGCAAGAATAGAGGGATATAGTATAGTACCCATTCCTAACACAGTGTAAACATGCCACTTTATCTCAGCTTATCTCATTTTACAGGGTTGTTGTGGGGAACATGGGAAGAGAAAAGAGTATTAGGTATGTCACCATTCTGAGTTACTTGTAAAGTAATAAGGCAGGTTAAAAATCAAATAATAAACAAACGAACGAATGAATGAATAAATAAATAAATAAATTCTGGGGAACCTTTGTTCTCTGGTGGTTGGCAGGTACCTTCTTAAAAAATAGGAAGGAATCAATTGTTTGTTTTTATTTACTGTACTTTTGCTTTACTGTAATGCTTTACTGCTCACAGGAATGACAGTCAGAAAAAAGGGTAGAAAAAAGTAAGTTTGCCTTAGCATCAGGTGAGAGAACCTTCGAGGAGTATGTGAAGGCATCCATATGTTTAAACATCTCGAAAATTAAAGGAAAAGAATGTGGATCAGCAGAGAAAGGTAAGGGTCTGGAAGATTCCTCACACAGGGGACGACCACCAAGGTTTCCCTCCCCTGCATGGGTTGGAAGAACAAGAACCAGTGGGAGTCCAGACTGAGTACCAACCTAGCTTTGTTGCTGAACCACTCAAATCTGAACTGGAATTGTACTAGTCTGCTTTAGGAATAGCCAGGAACAGCAAAAAAGAAGTTGCTTTAGCTGTTGTGTGAATTATTCATAAAGTGTTTAATTAGCACTAAACTGAAAATTAGGAGCAGATTTGGTGGAATTTTAAGATTACAGAAGTAAAATAAAAATCTAATAAAGCAAATATATTTTGGCCTGGGGCCTTAAATGCTGATTATTGTACCTTTTCTTTTGCAGGCTGTACATTGTTCAGAATACATTGATTAATTGTGTGCCAGCAAGTTAGTGTTAACTATTAGCAATGTCATGGATATATTTTTTCCATTATAATCTATACCCAATCTGGTATTTCAGGTCTTCTAAAGGCATACCCATTGTCACTGTAAATGGGCGTATCTCTCTTGTTGCTGATCATCTTTTCCTTCTCTTTCAGAATATATGCCAGTGGTATATTGCCATTGGTGAAGTTAAGCTCCATTAATTTTGAATTTTCTCTCCTGAATCTCAATGATCCACTGATTTGTTTCCTGGCATCATCTGTAATGTCTAATCTGCCAGGAACACATATAGATTGAAATTAATTATTGGGTTAACACAATTCAAGGGAATCTAGTTCCATTGTATACTCAATGCACAATGAGGATATTGTGAGCCATTGTCAACTCTATTGTAGAGATGTGCAAAGAACATGCATGCAAAGGGTTTCCTTGGTGATCCCTATGAAAATGCTTCTGCCTTTAGGAGATAGCCTTCAGATGAGCTTGCCAAGCTTTCCAGATGATGCAGCTGCTTTAAAGCTTAAAGGAGAGATGCTTTGCTTGCTCTAGCACACTTTGTAAAAGATTCTTATCTAATGCTTTGCACAGTCATATTAAATAGGTACAAAAGGAGATATAAGCATGAAAGTAAAAACCTGCTGCTTTTTATTCTGTTCTCCAGTCTTTAGGCTGTGATATTATACATTGCCAGAAGATGGAGGGCTTGACTTATTAAGGGAAGCACCACAATATGCACTGATATTTCTTTTCACACTGGTTCATGATGGTCAAGAATGAAAAGAAGGATTAAAAAGCTAACCTTTCTAATTGAGCATGAGAAGCAGAAACACTTTTTGCATCTTTTCAGAATCCTCCCTTAACAAAATACTTTTAAAATCAATGCAAAACCTGTTATAGCAAATGTAAATTAGTCATATTTGTGGATGAAACGAGTCTATTTTGTAATAAATATAATTCTGTTTTGTAACTGGCCATAAATGGACTAGAAGTGTGTCATGGAGGTGTTGAGCTTAGAAGGAATGATGGAGAGTAAGAAGTTTGCTAGTGGCTGGAATCATGGACGACAAAAATGGCAAAAATGGCAATTTCCAAGCAATTTTATGTTGCTTGAATAATTTGTGGAAGAGAATTTGCTTTACAACTTATTTCAAAAGACAAGAGAATTTCAGAAATTTGTCACAGATGGGCTGTGATTTGCTGGAACTGGTTTAACATTAAGGTGAAGATTCCATTTCTTATGTATAGGCATACTTGCAGCTATTTACACTATTTTTGGCTTTCCAGATTTCAATTATCCTTTCTTGTGTTGTTCAAGTTTACAACTACAGAGATTAAAAAATGATGCAAACTAAAGCAAATATAAAAGATTAAAATGACAGAAAAGAAATAAAAGTTCAAAAAGGGGAGAAATCCTATATAGTTTAAAAAATAAAAAAGAAGTCTATAGAAATAATTTCCCTTTTCATCATGACCATTATTATCTTTTCTTATATTTCTACAACAAAACCACCCTTCATTGCATCTCGTCCTTATTTATAAAGAGATTCTAAAAATGTCAACATTTAAAGCTAGTTAACAAAAGTCCATTGAGAGTTACCAATAATAATAATCTATACATTTTAATCTTAATAAAATAAACTAGCTTTATTTTCCTTGCCTTTAATTTTAGCATAGTTACTTTCTCAAATTTTACAGCCGTATCATTTGATCTTGCACAGCAAAAATCAATTAAGAGTTACCCAGAACATACATACATACATACATACATACATACATACATACATACATACAAACAAACTTTCATTAAATAATTCCACTTTATATTCCTTTGTTTTATTTTTAACAATATTCATTTTTATTACTTTTTAATAGTATGCAGGTTTTGGTTTTTTTCTCCATCTCCATATTTCTTCTCAGTCTTTAAAACTGTAACACATCTTTTTTGTAAATGAAAAATGAAAAAAAATGTCCAAGTCACTCTTCTGGTTTGTTATTTGTATATCTCTTTTAATTGTTAAGACATCTGGTTTCACCTGTATATCCAGCATAACATCTTTATCTATATCATTCTTTTAATCTATAATTTTTAAATCCACATTCCAGTCAGCCTCAAAAGCAGTCTTGTTAATAACAGGCAATCTCAAAAGCAACTTCTCTCGATGCTACATATTATCATATATGGTGGACCTGCCAAAAGGTTAAGGCATTCTGGATAAAAATATGGTGGGTCATGCAAAATATTTTTAAAAGAAGGATAAAGTTTATTCCTCAGTTATTTTTACTAGGTATATGTACTGACTTTACAGTGGTAGAGACTAATTTGATTCTGCACCTAATAACTGCAGCAAGACTGTTGGTGGCGCAATATTGGAAGAAGGAAGACTTGCCTACAATCCAAGAATGGACATTGAAAGTGACAAACTTAGCCGAGATGGCTAAAATATCGGCATATCTTAAAGATCATTCAAATGAGAGATATAAACGAGACTGGAAAAAATGGATTGACTATATACAAAATAAATACGGGACCAAGAAATTCCAGTTAGCCTATGCTTAAGATCAGAAATGATTTAAACTGTTAAAAGTTAGTTCAGTAAGAAGAAGCTAAGGTCAATGTAGAATGTCATTAATTTCTTTATTTCTTTTTTCTCAATAGATTTTAGACTGTGTTAGTTAAAAATCCATACCGTGTACGGGTTCTGGGAAGTCGGGGGGGAAGGAGGAGGGGGGTTGGGGGGGTGGAGGGAGGAAGGGGCACACAAAAAAATTGTACTTCAATGTCTTAATGATTGACAAATGAAATATTTGTGTTTTTTTTAAAGAAATAAAATAAATATTTGAAAATCAAAAGCAACTTCTGAGTAAATTAGTCCAAAATATTCTTAAGTTTGATCCGTTAGACTAATTTGTTGCATTCTGTATTAGTGGATCTCTTTTCCTTTAATTATAATCTTTTAATTATTTCTGCTTTCTTCTAGTGTTCAACTTTTAAAGTTCCATCTTGTCACTGATTTTTTGATCAACATTTTTCAAGAGGAAAATTTCTTATACTTGATTTCAAAATGTTTTTTCCCCCCCAAACAGCTATATTTTCCTACAGGAAAGCTTCTTGGAATTGGTTTCAAGATCTTATTTCAAATTCTGGTCCTTAGTTTGTAACTTTCCAAAGTCAATGTTTTAATCATCTTTTGCTTTTATTAAAAAAATGTTTTTCAAATTCTTAAATCCTCTTTCACTGAGGATTGAAGGAGACTTACCCAATGTAATGAAACTTGACAATATACAGG